TTTTTCATTTTACAGGTACTTAGTTAAAGGTGCCCCTTATTATTTTTAGGGTGAGGGGGGTAGGTAGGGGGATAATGTTTTTTTTGGGGGGGAGGGGGTGACTAGGGGTTTGGGGACCCCTAGTCACCTGGGGGGTGGGGGGAAAATTTTTTTTAGGGCCCCCACCCGCCGCTCAGGGGTGGGGGCCAGTTGGGAGGACCTTAGGTCCCCCCCCCATTTTAGTATTTAGGGCCCCCACCCACCGCTCAGGGGTGGGGGCCGGGGGGAGGACAGTAGGTCCCCCCCCCATATCATTGAGTTAACTTTGACAACCCCCCCCCGCGCGGCGGGTGGGGGGGTTGTCAAAGTTAACTCAATGATATGGAATAGGCGGCGGACCGAACATCGCATATGTTCGCCCGCCGTGGCGAACGCGAACATGCGATGTTCGCCGGGAACTGTCCGCCGGCGAACTGTTCGGGACATCTCTAGTCCTAAACAGTCTCAATAAATCATTATTTAGTAGATTACACTAAGTGTGTGGTATAGAGTATCTAGTAGTCAAACTCTGCAACAGTTGGTAAATGATATCTGTTGAAGAAGGTTACATATGATTGTAACATTTATAATAAGTAACATACACAGTTTAGGAATTACAGCTAGATCTCCTGTTGCTGTCAAGGAGACCAAACCTGGTATTTGGCGCTTGATGAGGAGTAGAAAAATGAGGGGTAAAGAGGTTGGGAAAGGTGAAGGTCTGATAGTTAAATCTTCTGTGCTTAAAAAGCACCTGAGGACGGAGGTGAGGAAAAAAGGGGGGGGGGGAACAAATGTGAAAGCAATGTCTTTCCCTATAGTGCCTTCATGGGCACCCGTTACCCCTAAATAAGTCCCTAGCCAAAAAAACAACATTTGGCACCCCAACCACCCCTCAGCAGTAATAGTGGCTAGAACCTTATTAGCCTTATCGCCAGTGGAACAGGAAAAATGCCATACCGAAGTATAAAAATATTTAATCTCAAATACCTGACAGCAATATTCTAGAGATATAGTGGAAACAGCGAAGCCCCTAACCCCTGACATACGTTTTGCTAGATCAGCTCATCAGAGGGGGAGTATTTAATAGTTGTTGTGTATTTTCGTTATCCTTTGTCTATAGTACTATATGTTATGTCTTGTGGTTAGTTCTTGTCTTAGTCCCTGCAGGACTTTTTATTTAATCTATTAAAAGTTAAGTCTTATCATACGTAATATTGTACTCCCTTAGTATTCCATTCTCCACACGAGGCGTTACATCCTCCTCCTTGCCCCTTTGTTTGTTTATTGTCAGCTGATGAGCTCACTCTATAACAATCATCTGCTCCTTAGCAGGTCTTAAAATTAGGTAAATACAACCACAGATGAACAACTTCACATGACATGTTACACCGTGTCATGATTATTTTACAAAAATAAATTCAAAATGGAAAAGCCATGCATGACAAATTAAGTACACTGTTACTGTTTCCATAGGAATTAAGAGACTAAGTAGCAGACAGGTGCTGCTAATCAAATGCCCTCAATTCATGGATCATCAACAAGTGTGACCACCTCTATAAAAGCCAACGTTTTAGCAGTTTGCTGGTCTGTAGCATTCAGGTGTTAGTTACCACAATGCCAAGGAGGAAAGACATTAGCAATGATCATGGAAAAGCAATTGTTGC